AAATCTTCCCATGCCCGACAAGGCTTGGCCACGTCCTGTCTCACACATCATAGCCACAGCCACACTGGTAACCGAATCAAGCCCATCTCGAAGCTGTTGCACTTGTGGTGCCCCTGGCGTGCACAGCTTTGCTTTCAGCTGTCTCTGGGGTTTGCCTCCTTGCTCCAGGCAGGCTTACAGCTGTTCATCCTAACAGCATCCTCACATCCCGTGCCCCCCTCAGTCCTCTCCATGTCTCACCCTGACTTATTGGTTGAATTGTATCCCCTAAAATGATATGCTAAAGGCTGGGCATGGTGCTCACTCCTGTAATCCCAGCACTTTGGGAGGCTGAGGTGGGTGGATTACGAGGTCAGGAGTTGGAGACCAGCCTGACCAACATGGTGAAACCCCGTCTCTACTACAAATACAAAAATTAGCTGGATGTGGTGGTGCATGCCTGTAATCGCAGCTATTCAGGAGGCTGAGACAGGAGAATTGCTTGAACCTGGGAGGCAGAGGTCGCAGGGAGCCAAGATTGTGCCGCTGCATTCCAGCCTGGGTGACAGAGTGAGACTCCATCTCTAAAAACAAACCAAAAGATACGCTGAGGTCCTAACTCCCTGGTATCTGTGAATGTAACCTCATTTGGGAATACAGTCTTTGCAAATGTAATCAGGTTAGCATGAGGTCATTAGGGTAGGCTCTCCTCCAACAGGACTGATAATCTTATGAGAACACACACACACAAAAATGCCATGTGAAGACAAACACAGGGAGAAGATGGTCACATGGTAACAGAGGCAGAGACTGAAGTGACGCAGCTGCAAGCCAAAAAATGCCAAGGGATTACTGACCACAACCAGAAGCTAGTGGAGGCAGCGAAGGAGTCTCCCCAGCATCTTAGAAGCAGTGTGGCCGTGGTGACACTGACTTTGGACTTCAAGCCTCTGGACTGTGAGAAAACAAACTTCTGTAGTTTTAAACCTCCCAGTCCATGGTACCTTGTTATAGCAGCCCTAGGAACCTAGTAGATCCAGATTTATGATTCTTTGTCTTTTTTTCAAGACAGAGTCTTGCTCTGTCCCCCAGGCTGGAGTGCAGTGGTGTGATCTTGGCTCACTGCAACCTCCACCTCCCAGGTTCAAGTGATTCTCCTGCCTCAGCCTCCCAAGAAGCTGGGACTACAGGTGTGTGCCACCACACCTGGCTAATTTTTGCATTTTTAGTAGAGATGGGGTTTCACCATGTGACTAGGGTGGTCTCCATCTCTTGACCTTGTGATCCACCTGCCTCGGCCTCCCAAAGTGCTGAGATTACAGGCGTGAGCCACCACGCCCTGCCCTGATTAATGATTCTTGATGCCATTTACCACTTCCTGAAATTATATCTTTACTTCTTTATTATCTTTCCTCTCCATTCGATCATGAGCACCACAAAGAAAGCGTTTTAGATCCTTGTCTAGATTTAAAAACCATCAATCTTTTGACCATCAGATCTCTCTCCTACCCTCAAACTTTTCTCTTTCTGCATTCTAAGTATCAGAAATTGTTTTGTATGTCAAACGTACCAGCCAAGACCCTACATGCTTCCAAGCATTATTTGCACTCATAAACAATAAGGAATTTTATAATTCTTTTTTCATTCTAAAGATTTCTGAACTAATGGTTACATTTTTTTTTGAAAGAATAAATGAAAACCTGAAAGTGTTAAAGGCTCCTGGTTAGAGAATCACCATCACTGTCTCTCTCTCTTTACCTTCTTAGAAATCTGGCTATATGGCCCTCGGCCACAATGAACCTGTTTAGTCCTCCCAGAAAGAAACCCCCTTCACCAGATGCAAAATAAACCCAGGTTATACTGAAGATCAGATTAGCATGGATCAAGGTTCTCATGTTGTTCAACCAAACAGTAGTGACAAATCAATATTAATGCTTCAATGTTTGCTCCTGACATTCAATAAAAATATGTAGGTAATCAGCCAGATGTGGTGGCTCACGCCTGTAATCCCAGCACTTTGGGAGGCTGAGACAGGTGGATCACAAGCTCAGGAGATCGAGACCATCCTGGCTAACATGGTGAAACCGCATCTCTACTAAAAATACAAAAAATTAGTCAGGCGTGGAGGTGCATGCATGTAGTCCCAGCTACTCGAGAGGGTGAGGCAGGAGAATCGCTTGAACCCAGGAGGCAAAGCTTGCAGTTAGCAGAGACTGTGCCACTGCACTTCAGTCTGGGTGACAAGAGCGAGACTCTGTCTCGAAGAAAATCAAAAGGTAGGTAATCAAAAGAAGTCAGGAAGTACCTAGGATTTTATACTTTTTAATGTGAAAATAGCAGCACCCTATCAATAAACTCAGTGGCATGTATTTCATATAAATGCTGAAAATCAGGTGCCGTGGTCGATGTCTAAAAGTGGAACCTTGGGCTATTTGTTACCTGTTCTCATGCCTCACTTTCACGCCATGGAGTATCATGTGATCTTCCAGCTACCCCTCTTCATGAGGAGAAAACACATTGCTTCCAAATAATTAAAGCATTTTAGAATTGGGAATAGCAAACTTGACTGGGTCAGGCCAGATGTTCACCCCCACGAGCACTTGCAGGGAAGTCTTTTCCACTTAGAAGACTGTCTTTGACTTGGCGTGGTGGCTGACGCCTATAATCCCAGTGCTCTGAGAGGCCAAGGTGGGCAGATCACTTGAGGTCAGGAGTTTGAGACCAGCCTGGCCAGCAAGGCAAAACCCTGTCCCTACTAAAAACATGAAAATTAGCTGGGTGTGGTGGTACATGCCTGTAGTTCCAGCTACTCAAGAGGCTGAGGCATGAGAATTGCTTGAACCCAGGAAGTGGAAGTTGCAGTGAGCTAAGATTGTGCCACTGCACTCCAGCTTGGATGACAGAGCGAGACGTGAGACTCCAACTTAAAAAAAAAAAAAAAAAAAAGACTGTCTTTAGATGTGATCAGAAAAACGAAAAGGCAGTTTTTTGTGTCTGCAGTTTGTGCTTCGGGATGGCCCTGCAGGCTGCATATTCCCAGTGCCAATCAGAGACCAGCACGGCAAGGGCCTCCTGAGTAATCCACTCTCCTTGGCAGCTCCCGGCCCCAACCCAAGACACAACTCAAAACCAAAAACCATGCTTAATAGGTTTAGCCAAACTGTTTCATAACTTAATGAAGCACTATGTGTTCACTATTTTATCCATAAGTAGTCCATACATTATAGATGTGTGTACTTTTTTTTTGAGATGGAGTCTCGCTCTGTCACTCAGGCTGGAGTGCAGTGGCATAATTTTTTGTATTTTTAGTAGGGATGGGGCTAATTTTTGTATTTTTAGTAGAGACGGGGTTTCACCATGTTGGTCAGGCTGGTCTTGAACTCCTGACCTCGTGATCTGCCCACCTCGGCCCCCCAAAGTGCTGGGATTATAGGTGTGAGCCATCAGTGCCAGCTGATATGTGTACTTTCATAAACAAAATCTCAGTGCTATTATCACCTACAATTTACGAATTACTTCTTACATTCAGTCTGTATTCCACTTTCTCCAGTCGTCTTGTAAATGCCTACTGTTTGTATGGATTACATTTTATTTAAAGAAATGCTAAGTTACTTAGGCAGATGTTTGTAATAAACTCACATGGGTTGGGTGAGATCCAGGAGGCAGAATGGAAGCCACTTCCTGAGCCTCTAAGACTGGCAACTTGGGTATAAACACGGGAATGGCTGATTTGAAATTCTGCCTGGCCATCTCCTGCCCTATTCAAAAAATGATGCCACAAGCTACATTTCTGCCTTTTCAGCAGCTGCATACAAGGACCTGCCAGGAGCATTTTAATATTTCATTTTACAAACTGAACTCATGCTAGCTTTTCTCTGGACAGAGTTAACAGTCTTCTCTTCTCCCAATAGAAGTGCTGCCTACACTTTATTAAGCAACGGTCTGGGCTGAAGGACCCTCGTGCTCAACTTCAAGTCCCACAACTATGTTGAATTTTCAAACTATGATGTGCGTTTTTTTTTTTTTGGCAAATCTTTTAGGATGGAGGAGCTGGCTCCAGCATGAAGTTGCATAACAGCAAAAGCTACTTTTCCACTAAATCTAAGCAAAAATTGTGCTGATGCCCAGGAATTTCAAGAGAGGTTTGAGGATACCAGGATGTACCCAGATGAAACACGTACTGTGCAAATAACACCCATGGAGTGAGTGGAGCAAACAAAACATCTAAATGCTAACAGGAGTGTATAATACGCATCGCAGTAACACACACACAGAAAATAACCCCTGACCATGTGGTCATGAGTCTACACAACAGCGTGGACCCAGGCAGGCACACATTCAAAAACGCGCAGTGGACATGGTCCCATATGCTGTACAGGAAAAAAAAAAAGCATTTTCTTCACCTTTTCCCATCCAATTAGATAAATATAACAAGCTGTGGGGTTTTGATTCGTTTCTAAGTTTCTTACACTGATGTTTTTGTTCGAAGTTGTAGGCAATCTTGTAGGATTCAAGCCCAAGGTAGTAGACGAAACACACCCAGGGCTGCGAGGGGAGGAGGAGGTCCCTGGTAGGAACTCTACAACGGAATCAGAGATTGCCCTGCTTGGGTGGCACCCGCTCTCAGTAGCAGAGGTCCCGGCCACGCCGCTGGGAGGTGGAAGCGATCCGAGGCTCCCGCGCCACCTCCCAGACCGACACGTTGACACTGGGGGCTGGACCAGGCGCTGACTGGGGATGCCTGGTTCGCCCGGAGGTACGGGGCATGGAGAGGTCCTGGGGGGCTCCTAAGGGTAGGGGTAGCTGCCACGTTCCCCAGAGGGCTCTGCTGGCAGGGAAAGAGCGGGAGGAAATGAGACCCCACCAGGAGCGGGCAGGTGTATCCGGCAGGCAGTGGCGCAGGGGTCAAGCCACCCAAGGCGGAACGTTAGCGCAAAAGCTGGCAGGCGGGCGGCGGGGGCTGCGGGTCCCGGCTAAAGTCAGGGCACAAGCCAGGTGGCCCCGCGCCCAGAGTCACTCACCATCCTCCAGCGCTTCGTGCACCAGCAGAAGACCAAGCAACAGCCAGACCTTCATCTCGGGGACCTCGGACCTCGGACCTCTGGGCGCAAGAGCGCGGCGGCTGCGCGGGGCCGGAGCGCAGGGGAGGCGGCGGGCGAGGGGCGGGGTCCTGGGACGCCGCAGCCAGAGGATTCGGTTTCATGAGGAGGAACAGGGTTTGGGGGGAAAAGTTGGGGAATTAAAAAAAAAAAAAAAAAAAGGCCTTGTAATGCGACTTCTCCTGCCCCCTGGCGGAGCCGCGGTGAGCAGCGCTTCTTCCCAGCGCGGGGAGGATGGGCTAAGGGCGAAAAGTGAATTACCACAGCCGCTCCTGGAATTTCTCCAAAGCTCGGCGTTTGCACCAAGATACCGAGTTCAACAAGGCCCAGCGGGTGCTGACGGAGTCACGTTTAACCATATTGTCCAAATGTCACCAGCGATCGCCCCACCTCCTCAGGCAGAGCCTGAGTGCTCTGTAAAAAGTGCTCCCTAAATATTTCTGTTCTTTCCGTTTCTCTCTCCCATACGCACTCACTCACAGGACCGTTGCCCTGGGTTCTCGCTGCTTCTCTGCGTCTGTCCAGAAATGGGCTCTGTACGCAGCCCTGTAACTACTGGTGAGGGTGGGAGGACAGACTCATTACAGGAATAACGTGGAAAATGAGACTGCACAGACAACCTGGGCTGTGGTGGTGAGGCGGGAGAATAGGTAATTGGGGTAACCACGGGCTAGAAGGATAAGCAGGAGAAAAGCAGGTGCAGCCGGTTCACAGAAGCAAAAGATCAGCAGGTGCAGACAGTTCTAGGCATGATTAGGTGGCACACAGGCCAGCCACATTGTCTCCTCTGATAACAAGACAGAAGTTTCCACTTCAGCCTCTGATTGGCCGTAGGCCAATCCTTCATAGGGCGTAACCAGTTGGAGGCCTCTTAAGGGAACTCAGGGGTGTTTCCAAGTTCTTTTCGCTTCATAGAATCTCTGGAGAGGATCAGGCTTTTGTGGCTTGCTCCAGCCCACTCAGTGAATCGTCTTCAGTATGTCTGCGCTTTCCTTCCTCACTTCTGTTGCTTTGTTTTTCGCTGTGTCTTTTGTTACTTTGGTCAATTTTTTTCATCATTGTTCAATTTTTTTTTTCATCAGGCTAAGAACCTGGACGATGGGGCAGAGGATTCTGGCTTTCACATGCCCCTCTGCAGAGAGCCATCCTGGGTTTCTGAGCTGGCAGACTCAGAGCAGTTTGCTAGCGGGGGAGGTGCCAGGTGTGTGTTCCCCAGGTGAGAAGCAGCCCATCTCATCGTGACCTTCAGCACCAGGCACTGCTATTAAAGAGAGCTCGATTCTAAACAGGAAAAGAACTTCTCCCTCAACACCTAAGGGAAGAAGTGCTGCCATTTATAACAAACTAGGGCTTCTCAGTCACTTCATGCAGGAGGAAACAAAAATTCTCCATTCTGTTGCCAGCTCTAGCCTGAGCTTTGCCACTCACTTGCCTTGCGGTGTAAAGAACAGTTATCTGGGAATAAAGAAAACCAAAGTTCAGATCTCGCCACTGCCACAAACTCTCAACGCCTCTTACAAGTCACTTAACCTTCTGGGTTTCAGCATCTCTAGTTTATTAAGAGAGGGAACTAGATGATTCTTTTCACAGGAGTTTGCTATGTGATTACTATTATGGATATGAAGGTTAAAACATCATCTATCACTGCTACTTTTTAAAAATTATACTTTAAGTTCTGGGGTACATGTGCAGAACGTGCAGGTTTGTTACACAGGTATACACGTGCCATGGTGGTTTGCTGCATCCATCACCCCTTCATCTACGTTAGCTATTTCTCCTAATGCTATCCCTCCCCAATCCCCCCAGCCCCTGCTATCCCTCCCCCCCCAGCCCCCCACCCCCTGACAGGCCCCGGTGTATGGTGTTCCCCTCCCTGTGTCCATGTATCACGGCTACTTTTAAGGAATAGACAAGCATTTAGACCACTGCAATATGGTGTGTCACGTTCTGGGGAGAATTCTGAGCAAAGGACTTGGAGGATGCACATGGGAGTGGCTGAATCTGCCTAAGCTGCCCCACCCTGAGATTTCTTTTCATTCTGACTCCACGAATTGACTGTTTCATTCTCACTCCATGTTGGAGCTTGGGGTTACCTCTAGATTCCTCCTCTCCATCCCACTCTCCCCTCTATGCTGACTGCATGCGCAGGTCCACCCCTCTTACGCCATCATTGTCAAACTTCACTGCCCTGACTCAGGCTGTTTTCCTCCCTTATGAGGAGTGCAGCCACAGCCTCTAATGAATCTCCCTACCCCTCTTTCTTGTACCTCAATTTATTCTTTGCCAGGCAATGCGATCAATTGCAATCACTTTTTTTTTGAGATGGAGTCTGGCTTTTTCGCCAGGCTGGAGTGCAGTGGTACAGTCTTGGCTCACTGCAACCTCTGACTCCCTGTTTCAAGGGATTCTCCTGCCTCAGTCTCACAAGTAGCTGGAATTCCAGGCACGCGCCACTATGCCTGGCTAATTTTTGTGCTTTTAGTAGAGTTGCGGTTTCACCATGTTGGCCACGATGGTCTCCTGACCTCATGATCTACTCGCCTTAGCTTCCCAAAGTGCTGGGATTACAGGCATGAGCCATTGTGCCTGGACTGCAATTACTTTTAATGGCAAAAACCACAATTACTTTTGCACCAACCCAGTCTTCAAATGAAGCCCTAGAAAACTTCACCCTTAAACCTTTCTGAGGCTCTCTAGCAAGACTCAGTTCTAGAGTTCGCAGGCCCCTGCTTCTCTCTCCTCACTTGGGCCTCACTCCCTGCCCTGCCCTCCATGCCTCACAAACAGCACACTCTGGTAGCCACTCATTCCAGCCTGTGCATCTCAGCCACCACAGATTCCCTGCTTCTGCTGTTTCCATCTGCCCCCAAAAGTTCCCTCCTCCAGTTTCCCACCTGCCTGCTTTCTCTGGCCTCACTCATCCCACAAGGGTTAGCCCAGATCCCATCTCCTTCCTCTGGGGTGAGCCCTTCTCTTGGTGTGAATGGCTCTGTTGTAGCCCATGCAACAAAATTCTGCATTTCGCTGTTTATCTGTTTATGCTTTTCTCCTGCACTATCTTAGGATTTCAAAGGCAGACTGGCTGGCCATTAATGTGGTGTAGACAGAAGATCTGGTGAGAGAGGCACAATGGTGCCACATTAGGAAGTAACTTGGCTTTCATGAATAGCTGTGCTCAGTTACTCTACCTATATTTTCACTGATTTAAAAAAGAACATGGGCCCGGCACGGTGGCACAGTCCTGTAATCTCAGCACTTTGGTAGACAAAGGTGGGTGAATCACAAGGTCAAAAGATCGAGACCATCCTGGACAACATGATGAAATCCTGTCTCTACTAAAAACACAAAAATTGGCTGGGTGTGGTGGCATGCGCCTGTAGTCCCAGCTACTTGGGAGGCTGAGGCAGGAGAATTGCTTGAACCTGGGAGGTGGAGGTAGCAGTGAGCCGAGATTGTGCCACTGCACTCCAGCCTGGGCGACAGAGCAAGACTCCGTCTCAAAAAAAGAAAATACCATCATAACTATTCTTATTCAAACATCTTTGTGCCTGTGAGTATATCTATATGGTAGATACCCAGAAAGAGTTGACTCAGCCTAAGATCATGATATTTCACATTTTTGGGAAATGCTGCCAGTTTGTCTTTTAACAAAACTGTCCATATTGGTAACCACTTCTACTTCAGGAGAATCTGAGACTACCCACATCCTCACACTCCCACCAAACCTCAATGTGATTATTCCTTTCCGTGTTTACAATGTAAAGTAGGCAAATCTCATTATGTTCTTCAGTTCTCCTTCTTTTTTTTACTCTTGAGGCTGAGTATCTTTCTGTTTTTTTTTTGTTTTTGTTTTTTTGAAACGGAGTTTCGCTCTTGTTGCCCCAAGCTGGAGTGCAATGGCACAATCTCCGCTTACGGCAACCTCTGCCTCCTAGGTTCAAGCGATTCTTCTGCCTCAGCCCCCTGAGTAGCTAGGATTAAAGGCACCTGCCACCATGCCCAGCTATTTTTTTTTTTTTTTTTTTTGTATTTTTAGTAGAGACGGGGGTTTCACCATGTTGGCCAGGCTGGTGTTAAGTTCCTGACCTCAGGTGATCTGCCCACCTCCGCCTCCCAAAGTGCTGGGATGATAGACGTTAGCCCGGATGAGGCTGAGTATCTTAATGTATTTCTTGCTCATTTGTATTTACCTACTTTTGAAAACTGGGTTCTTTTTATTATTGTTTTATAGTAACTCAACATATTCTGACTAGTAAGCTCTTGAGTGTTTTAAACACTGCAGACATTTTCTTCTAATTCTTTGCTTGTGTTCTAGTTTTGTTGCTAGTGCCTTTCTCTTAGCAATTACAACAAATGTTTCTTTAAGCAATTACATTTCTCAGTGACTTTCTTCATGGCTTCTAGGTCTTCTATTTCCTTAGGAAGGCTTCTGTGCCTTGAATTATCAAACCACTTCATATTTTCATCTGAAACATTTATAATTTTCCTTTTCTTGAAATCCACCCATAATTTATTTTTGGTATCACAAGCTAGAAATCCAATTTTGTGTTTTCAGTTGGATGTCAATGTGATACGATCATCTGTTCAATGATTTTTCCTTTTTCCATCTTTTCAAATTGACTTTTAGGATGTATTCAATTACATAGGTACATGGGTCTGTACCTATTTCATTCTATTTATTCTATTCTGTTCTATTTCATTCTATTTATCTCTGTATCTATGCCTATTAAAATACTCTGCTACATTAATTGGTATGGATGTATGGTCTGTTTTGTTATGGTTTTGGGAGAGGAATGCCCGTACATCACTACTCTTCTGTTAATTATCCTTATACATTTTCTCTTCCAGATGAAATTTGGAATCAGGTTGTCAATCTCCGTAAAAATTTTGTGTTTTGATTATAATTGCATTGATTTTAAGCTTTGGGGAAGAACAAACATATTAATAATACTGAGTCTTCCCATCTATAAATGTTATGTTATATATCTTTCAATGTATTCAGGTCTTCTTTTATGTACCCATTACGTTTTCTAATTGGTTAATGCTAGTATTTACACAATTATTTTGGAATTTTGCATTTCCAAGTATATAATTATAAATATCAAATACACTTTAGCTAAATTTGGTGTATGTGTGTGAACATATGTGTGTATGGTCATATAATTAAGTACTTACATAAGTTTATTGTTACATAGTTATATTTTTCCATGTAAGTGTTACTTGTTCATTGTTAAGCTTCTTCCTTCCTTCCATCTTTCCTTCCTTCCTTCCTTTCCTCCCTCCCTCCTGCCCACCTTCCTTCCTTCCTTCTCTCTTTCCCTCCTTCCTTCCCTCTTTCTTCCGTTCTTTCTTTCTCTTTGTTGCCCAGGTTGGAGTGCAGTGGCACAATCTCAGCTCACTGCAACCTCTGCCTCCCAGGTTCAAGTGATTCTCCTGCCTAGGCCTTCCAAGTAGCTGGGATTACAGATGCATGCCACCACACCTGACTAATTTTTGTATTTTTAGTAGAGATGGGTTTTACCATGTTGGCCAAGTTGCTCTCAAACTCCTGACCTCAAGTGATCCTCCCACCTTAGCCTCCCAAAGTGCTGGGATTATAGGCATGAGCCACTGTGCCCAGCCTACTGTTGGGCTTATTTCATATTTTTGCTTTCTTATTTGTTTCACTCTTGTGAATGAAAATTGACCCCATTACATTTTCAAATTGGTTAATACTGAAATCTAGAAAACAATTTTGGAATTCTATTTTCTCAAGCCTTTTCTATGTCACGTACACTTTAGCTAAATTTAAGTACCTAAACTTATCCTAGATTTATGTTATGGACTAAATTGTGTCCCTTGCAAAATTCATATGCTGATATCTTAACCTTCAGTAACTCAGACTGTGACCTTATTTGGAGACAGAAACTTTAAAGAGGTGATTAAAATAAGGTCATTAGGGTGGGCTGTAATCCAATGTTTCTAGTGTTCTTATAAGACAAAATATGGACACAGACACAGGCAAACAGGGAAGACCACTTGAAGACACAGGGAAAAGATGGCCATTTAAAAGCAGGGGAGAGGGCCAGGTGCAATAGCTCAGACCTGTAATTCCATTACTTTGGGATGTGGAGGTGGGTGGATCACTTGAGGTCAGGAGTACAAGACCATCCTGGGCAGCATAGTGAAACCCCATCTCTACTAAGAATACAAAAATTGGTAGGCCGTGGTGGCATGGCACGTGCCTGTAGTCCCAGCTACTTAGGAATCATTTGAGCTTGGGAAGCAAGATTGCAGTGAGCTGAGATGGCACCACTGCACCCAATCTGGGAGATAGAGACTCTGTCTCTAAATAAATAAATAAAGGCAAAGTAGAGAGGCCTCAGAGGATACCCATTCTTCTGCCACCTTGATCTCAGATTTCTAGCATTCAGAACTGTGAGAAAACACATTTCTGTTCTTTAAACCACCCAGTCTATGGTTCTTTGTTATGGTAGCCCCAGCAAACTAATACAAGGGTCTGTATTAGGATGGGAACAGAATTTATGAGACGTATAGGAGCTTCCCAAGACATGTAGCTATTTCATCACAGGCTTATTATCCTCGAATGAGACAATCTCAAGATGATTTTAAATTTGAAAAAGAAAACTGCCAAAGCTGTGTTTTTCATGGGTCTTTTTTCACTATAAAAATCCATGTGCTTTGTCTCTAGGGTGAGAAAGAATTTTATTATTAGAATCTCTGTTGTGTTGATCTTTTCCATTCTTCTTCCAACAATTGCTGTAATGTTAGCCAATTAAAATAAGCATTATCTTGCAGCTCTAAATCAAATACAATTTGAAGCCGCCTTTTCCAAGTCCTGATTAACTTTTTTTGTGTGTTTAGCTTGTATCTGGTCACCTTAATGGACCTCTTAGTAGTCTAAATAGTTTTCAGTTGATCTTGTGGATTTTTAGATAAATGCTCTCACATTACCTGTAACACCCACTTTTCTTTCTTTCTTCTTCTTATCCTTTTTGTTTTTTTTTTTTTTAGTTTTTCTTTAGGTTAGTCTCACTGTCGCCCAGGCTGGAGTGCAGTGGCGTGATCTTGGCTCACTGCAACCTCCACCTCCTGAGTTCAAGCAATTCTCCTGTGTCAGCCTCCTGAGTGGCTGGGATTACAAGTGTGTGCCACCATGCCTGGCTAATTTTTGTATTTTTAGTAGAGACAGGGTTTCACCATGTTGGCCAGGCTGCTCAAACTCCAGACCTCAACTGATCCGCCTGCCTCAGACTCCCCAAGTGCTGGGATTACAGGTGTGAGCCACAGGAGCCATTTTCATTACCTATTTTAATTAATGGTAGTTTTCTATGATTACCCAGGAACTGTCCCTACTCTATTGCCTTCTGTGCTTTTTATTTGCCCCTTGGAAGTGGTAAATACTGTTAGGAATTTGTTAGATAAGAAAAAATCGGCCAATATTTTGGACATCCCTGCTCCATCCCCAAGATAAGGACATGTAACTTCTCTAACTGGTCTTTGTTAACTACAGACATACAGCCAAGATGAATTTTTCACAAAAATCAATGCTTTAAGGTTTTAGTAGGGGCACAATGTAGTGGTTTTAAATATGGGACTCCCTGAAAACTTCATTCTGAAAGAAATTCCAGACCTTTCTGATGCTCCCAGAGCCACTCATCAAGAGACATCTTAGGGTAAGGTAAGGATCCCAGAACCTTAGTCTGCTTAAAATCAATGAGACACAAGTAATGACCTTCCTAGCTCCAGGATGTTGCATGTTGTAAAGATACATCACCTATTCGTTAGTTACAAGAGCCTCTAAGTGGCAAGGGAAAGACTCTAAGCTAAAATGTAGAACAGGAAAATTGTGACTTGAGAGCTCTGGCCTCCCCTTTGCTCTTTTTCTTAACAGTGACCTCCCTCCTATTTCAACTGCCTCTGCCTATTTGCCTTCTCTTACTTACTGGCTCTAAATGATCTTTCTGAAAAGCTTCTATTATCAGTCATTTATACTTACATGCCAGTTAAAATCAATGGTTCTGTTTTAAGAACATTGGCATGTCTGATTTCTACCAGAGCAGTGAAATTGTTGGTCCTTCCATGAAATTATCAGGCATCAGTGAGCAGGTAGGTAAAGATTCTGGTGACTTTAAGACTCAGCCAATAGGGATGCCAATTTGTGGGTTAAGGGACTCAGCTCAGAAACTCGCTTGGACATTGGTGCCCACTTTGGGCTATGTAGTACTCCTGGGTAGTACAGTCTCTATCCTGTGTTTTCCACTTCCTCTGGACTGCTCCAGTCTTAACAGAGTAATAAGAACTCTTTACTGACAGTTTATGACATCTGAAACTCTTCTATCTACAACTATTTAAGAGGTGGCTATCAATCTGTTACTAGGAAGGTTCATGTAAGTGAATGAGTATTGAGTGAAGTTTCTTCCTAGTTTCACGTTCATTCATTCATTTACTTTTAGAGACAGGATCTTGCTTTGTCACCCAGACTAGAGTCCAATGGTGCCATCATGGTTCACTGAAGCCTCAACCTCCTGGATTCAAGTGATCCTCCCACCTTAGCCCCCCAAGTAGCTGGGACTACATGCACTCCGCTAATTAAAACAAAAAAATTTGTAGAGACCGGAGTCTCCACTATGTTGACCAGGCTGGTCTTGAACTTATGGCCTCAAGCAATCCTCTTGCTTTGGCTTCCCAGAGTGCTGGGGTTACAGGCATCAACCACCGTGCCCAGCCACCTTGACATACTTTAAAGACAAGTTGAGATAATGGGATACTGAGAGTTATTTTTGCATGTCTTTGAGAATTTTTTGAGATTTATAGGATGAAAAAAATTATCTTTCCACATAGATGAGGACTTCCCAGCACAATCTCTTAGCAATCCATGGGCTTTGAGCCCATAGCCCCAAAAGGAAGCCTATTTGTGGCCTCCTTCAAACACTAATATCTTATTCCTACCTCCAGGAGCTTCTGGCTGGACCTAGAGCCCGGAAACAACTCCTGGGGGATTATTTCATGTGATCTCATGGTGGCAGAACATGGGCGGGGCACCACTGCCTCATAGCAACCCTAATCAAACAAAAATTAAATTGTTTGAGGCTTCTACTTGGCAAGGAGTTTGCTATTTTAGCTTGGTTTTCAATGCTGTCTAAATTGATAGTAAAGTTTCTAAAACTCAACTTGTTCCTTCCAATTTACTAGAAACAACAGGAACTGCATACACAAAGATGTTTCAAAATTAAACAAGCTAGCTCAAAACATTTGTAATTTTTAAGCAATTTAGAATCATATTTGAAAAAAACGCTTTTTTGAATTCTCCCTCCCTATCAAGAGTAAAAAGTTGATAATTATTCACTATACTTAAAAAGAATCCTAGTTATATACAACTGATCACCAATTGTTAAAGGTGGAAAGAACATTGAGTATTTGAATATTCCATCAATGTTCTTTCCACCCTAATTTAAATATTCCATCAATATTTGAATTTTCCATCAATGTTTGACTATTCCATCAACGTTCAAATATTCAATGTTCTTTCCACCAAATAGAAAGATCTGGTGGAAAGAACATTGATGAACTCCTTGCAGATCAAAGCAACGTCAAAGTGATTGGCTCATTAAACGGCAGTCACAGTTGTAGAATCCCAGGTGTGTGACTCTGGGGTGGCATGCTTCAAGAGCAACTGATACTTTTTTGGAATGTGCCACGAGGACTGAGGACATGTGAAGACATCTCTTTCATCTCTCAGGACTTGTCAGTCATACAACAGGCCCTAGGTTGCCAGCTTAGTATTCTTCAATTGTTTCAATGTAGATTGCATTATATTTCTGAGCTTTAAAGATTTCCAAATAAAAAAGGTGTTTAAATTAGGTAAATATGAAATGTGTGCTTTTGGTATATGTGACATCTGCCTTCTGCATTATTACTGATTAAAATTTATTTTAAAATACGGTCACATCAGAAATCATATTTTATAGTGGTAAAGCAGCAGTTTTTATTTATTACAAATTCTACAAAAGAATACAACTTAAGTAAAAAGGAAAACTGATGATCACTTAAAAACATTTAAATTTAAAATTACTACTAAAAAAACCCCTTACAGCCACACAAATCCAATGTCTTTGTTGGTTTTTACAGACATAGACTTTCTGGAGGGTTTTGGGCCCTAGCAACAATTTCTATTAAGTACAATGATAACAAAGCAATAAAACAACTGGGCACTTGTAGGAGCCACCAAAGATAACGAGCCCATTAATCAGGTGTAGGCCAGAGAAACCCAACCTGTTGGCAATAGGAGGTGCTTTCCCAACTGGGTCTTGGCGAGATACATGGCACAGCAAGGCTATCAGTGCATGTGCATAAATTGTAGACCGGGTCCCACTATGCTAGTTCTGGAATCAGCTACCCCTTCCATGAATCACAGAAGTTCCTTGGTCCTTATTCATCTTGATTTGCTCAGGGGATATTTGGAATTAAGGACCCCAAACTCCCTGACTTGCATTTGAAGTCTTTCACTTCATATTGCACCCCATCAATCTGAGCCCACACAACAAGGGTAGCTACAGATAGATAGATGCTCATGCCCTAGAGGCTGCCTGACCCTGGAACCAGCCTGGGGTCCTGATTATGATCCACTGGGCTGTCAGTGGTTAGCGAAAGCTCTTTAAGGCCCAGCAATCATGGCAGTGACATCAGCCATGGTGAATAAAAGTTAACTATAGTCCTTCCAGCAAACAGTATTACCACTGGGTTGAGCCATAACAAAATGCATTTGAAATCAATAAGACTAAACTGTATACATAAAAACAATAATGAATATTACAAAAACCAACAACCACAACAACAACAGATCAGGCTTCTCAAAATCCAGAAACCGGAAGGCTATTTTAAAGTGTTTAAATATAGTTATATAAGGGAAAAAAATCTCCCCAAAACAATAAAGTCAACAACCTTACTTTCACATCTACATGACTAAAAATTGACCTTGGCTGGCATACCCCTACTTTCCCCCTTGATATTTAAGGACATGTGGGAGAACTTTATAGAAAAGTAAAGTGTGCAAGAGAAGGCACTGTTTTGGCCCTAGCAAAAAGGACAGTTAATTTCACAAGAATCATGTGAACTTTAATAACCCATGATGTACATGCTAAACTCAATCCTTCAAAGCCCTGTGGAAACAGTATTTTTGGTGGTAACAGTTGGTATCAGGAGAAATCATGAGCAACATCACCAGAAAGGGAGAGTCAGAATCTTGGCATGATTTCATCATGTGGTTTGTAATCTCAGAACACGCCCTGATTCAAGAAGAGGAAAGGCAAGCTCAAGTGCTCTCTCTGTCATCATGGGTATTGGATGCTGATGGCTTTTCCTTATGCTCCCTGCTAAGCATTTCAATCAATTTGGAAAATAGGTAAAAATAGATTCTAATTCAAAGTGTTTTATTAAAACAATTTTTTTTCTTTTTGAGGCAGGTTCTCACCATTGCCCAGGCTGGAGTACAGTGGCGAAATCTCAACTCACCGCAGTCTCAATCTCCCAGGCTCAAGTAATCCTTCCACCTCAGTACCCCAGCAGCTGGGACTGCAGGTGCGTGCTACCGCGCCCAGCTAATTTTTGTATTTTTTGTAGAGGTAGGGGTCTTGCTAGGCTTCTCAGGCTGCTCTGAAACTCCTGTGCTCAAGTGATTGGCTTGCCTCGACCTCCCAAAGTCCTAGAACTACAGGCACGAGCCACCAAGCTTGGCCTTAAAAATTTTTTTAACAATTACCTGTAAACACTCAAGACTTAAAAAGTATTTTGACTAATATGTAAAATGTAAAAGTTTTTTAAAAATTCTCTTATTCAAAGAAATTAAAAGAAGACAATCTTTTATTTTTTAAAGGGAAATAATTCTGAAACTAATGTTTTCTGTCAACTATGGCTGGTAATGGGAAAGCTCCATGTATCCGTTACTTTTTCTTATAGATCTCTCTAAAGTGACACTTTGGCTTTAGTTTCCTCAATGTTGATCTCTGTGGAGAATGTGATTATCATAATCAGTATTTCAGTACATATCAAAGGTGCCAATTTAAGTTTTCCTCATAGTTTTTAATAGAGTTTGCATAGCTCTATTCTTTCATGTAGGACTGCCATTGCCTTTCGGTGGTCATTCACAAATTATTCTTTTGTAAAGAGTATAAAATTGAGGCACTATTATAAGAAATTCTCAGAGAAAACGTTGAGAATATATTCCTTAGTGTAGGCAAGAAAAGTAATTTAAGCTGCTTTTACTCAATCACAAAAGAATGTGCATATGTACTTTTTAATTAATGAAGAAGACTTTATATACTTTTGATTACTAGTCAGAACTCTGCAACACATTTAAGTAATTTTGAGAAAGTGAAAAGAACATTTAGTTCAAAACATTATGAATTCCAACGCAGAAACAGGAAGGTGCCACAGAGCTGGTGGTACTGACTTTTACCAGTAAACACCTACCAAAAGAGATCTGTCAGAAAAGGTGTGGCAGAAACAAGTGACCAGGAATTCCCAAATGCGCCCACCACCTCTCCATTCCAGATTACAAAGCACCTGTTACAATGTACTAGAGTTTAGTGATTTCATATTAGAAACATTATAAATACTTCTCAAAGAGCCTATCTATGGGAAATATACATATAAAATCAGAGTACATTTTAAAATAGTTTAAAAACTAAAAATTTGGTGTAAGCGTATCTATCAACATCAAACATTGATTTTTCTCCACATCAGTTGGGTTTTGTACCCACATAGTGATATCGCCAAAGCCCACCATAAACCCAACTGACTTACACACTGACATATGAAATACACACATGCAGATACATATACACTCACACATACATACCTAAAACACACACATCCATTTGAGTCCTCACAGAAAAAAAGGCACAGTGGCTGACAAAGCATCTTTTTATAGTTATTTGTGTCTGTAAAGTATATCAATGTGAAAAAATATTTTTTCCCTAAATTCTGCTTCAAATTGAACAATGGGCATAACAGTTTTAGCTGCCTATCATATTCTAAACAAGTTTCTTGATTTTGTTACAGTAAACGATTTGAGTGTTTATATATTAACAACTGTTCACATTTCCTGTGTGAAGGGCCTATTCTAGATCAACTGTCAAACCAAAGGGGTTTTCAGTGTACTGTGACAACAGCAAGGGTTTATGGACATACCTACTATCCCTACCCAAATATCTGACCTATGCTTATCCAACTCCCTTTCTCCAGTAAAACATCCAGCTTGAGAGAGAATTCTGGGCTTCCGATTTTACCATGTGCACCCTGGAAGTTGTGGAATGTCCGTAATGAGTTCTGTGTCATGGATGCTCTAACGCTAGCAGCCAGAAACCCAGGCTTTCTACCTGTTTGATGTTTAATCACAACAGACTCTTGGTTATGCAAAACCATAAAAATGCAACTTGCTTTCTAATGGTGTCAATAAAATAACTGATTTCTTGGGAGACCCAAGAAACCTCTTGGGAGGTTAAGAGGAGAAAAACAAATGTTTTCCTTGCCTTTGGATTATGTGGGCCAGCTAGCATGCTTGGTAATGTTCACCATGGTGTCCTGGGAAATGTCACCCAGCCTCATCCAATGAACTATTTAATGATTTGTACAAAAGAAAATAGTTTATGAGAAGCAAAACACACTGCAAATAAATAGTCCACTATTAGGGAACCCTCAAATATAAAATGTAACAATTAGAGAATCTTACATGTAAAAAATAATTTACTCATTTCCAAAGATAACTGTGTTTATACAGTTTTAATTCAATTTTTTTTAGTTTACAGTTTTAAATAATCATGTTTTTAACCAGAATATTTGAATCCTCAATCACTGATGGGTTATTGTATACAAACCCTGGAGCTTGTATTAATAGGCTTAGTGTGGTCATTTGAAAGCAAATGGAATAAAAAGTACTAAACAATGTATGGAGTAGGGAGAGAAAAACATTCCTAAATGTTTCCAAAAGAAACATAAGAGGCAAATTAGATCCAAAGCCCTTAAATTGGGCCAGATGCCATTTACTATTGGAATAGGCATGTTCATCTCAGAACAGGGGGATTTTCTCTTCTATCCCTTGATCCTGCCCTCTTTGCACGATGCTGTGTAGCCTCCTCATCTCCAGAACAAGGGAAAAGAAACATAGACAAAGAAGTGAACTCTGTACCTGAGGAGGTTAAGACGAAAACTAAGCTGTGATTAAGTAAGTAATGGAAAAAGGATGTTATGCCATTGATTGTGTGGGCTGGGAGGGTCTGCTGGCTTATTTTAAGTGACTTTTTAGAAAAGGATGCTTGGTGTCTGCGTATTCAAGCATTGGTCTAACTCTTTGATCTTCAAACATATTCTCATTATGGTCACTCCCATGAGCTTTCTGGCCAGGGTGACTACTTTCACTTTTTAATTTCAAGAGTCCCAAGTCGATCACAGTGCCTCTCTTAAGCCCCTGACTGGGGATATGTCATTCACAAAAAGTGAAGAGCTCGTATTTTAGGACCACTGTTTGCAAAGGAGACAAGAATTCAAAAGAATGCCAAATAGTGACCTGAATGCCACTCCTGGCCTGTGTAGTGCAGCAGAAGCAGACACCCCTATTGGCTGCAGTTTGAGCAAACTGTCATATCTTACAGGGAAAAAAATTTGCATTAAACCCACTGTTGGCATTCACAACTTACTGAAAAGGCTCATTCCTTATCCCCTCATCTTATCCCTAACCAGAGATAGACACCATGATGAGTAACTGCATTTTGGCATCCCCTAAATTTACCCAGTGATGAAGTCAAATAAGGTAGAGCTGCTAGTTATTTCCCCAACCGCAGGGGGCACACACAAAACCTCTTTGCATTCAGTGATTTACCTCTATTTCAGTATGTGCAGTATATGCCACTGATTAATGACAAAACTGGAAAGATGTAACACAGAAATAGTAAAACACCAGCTAACTTTTAACGCTCATGTTCCCAAGCATATACATACACACATACATACACACACACGTACATGCACTCCCACTATTTGGGGGCTGTTGATCACTGATGAATGAAGCCTCCACTTAGGAAGTTTCCCAGGGCACATAATTCACCATCTGAGGAGATGCTGTACAGATGAGTAAGTATAAGTCAGGGTGAACTATGTATGGAGCGAACCATGACAACCTAGCATGCTCATGACATCCGGTCATGTTTTACTCAGTGTAGGATATGTATGTTAAGATGATGACCAGCTCTCCTCCTGCAACAGTTAGAATTCGCTCGTCTTTTCATGGAATATGAAAGGTAAACTGAGATTTCTTGGGTGATGGTCATTTGCTTGAATGGCAGACTTTTCTTCTGTTGCTGCATGGATGTTGTCTGGATAAGCACCTTCTTCTTCTTCATCTCTCTGATGACCCTCCAGGCTGTGTCTAATGCCATAAGCAAAGTAAATCAGGAAGCCTGTTGGGGTGGGGGGAAAAATCAATGTTTCAGGTATGTCAGGAAATGACTTTTAAGTTATTGAGGTAGAGAATTAAATACAGAACTTAATAGAGTTTTTCTCTTTCCTTTCTGTAGTACTTTAGAACAGGGGTCCCCAAGCCCCAGGCCGTGGACCACTATTGTTAGGAACCAGGCCACACAGCAGCAGATGAACTAGCGAAGCCTCATCTGTATTTTCAGCCACTCCCCATCTTGCACATGACCACCTGAGCTCCACCTTCTGTCAGAGTGGTGGCTGCATTACATTCTCATAGAAGGGACTATGCATGTGAGAGATCTAGGTTGCGTGCTCCTTACCAGAATCTAACTAATGCCTGATGATCTGAGGTGGAACAATTTCATCTCAAAAACCATCCCCCACCCTGCCCATGGAAACACTGTCTTCCACAAAACCCACCCCTGGTGCCAAAAAGGTTTGGGTCTGCTGCTTTAGAAGAACAAAATGCAAATACAAGATACCCTACAGAAGGTCTCCTTGATAAATAGTTTCCTGATGGAATGTGCCCCTCTATTTTTAAGACCCAAACTTTCCGGATTGTATTTCACTCTCAACAAGCTTTGCAGTGTTGGTATGGAAAAATTTTACTTTATGTTCTTAAAAGTTAATACTGTAAACAAAATGACATGTGGGCTAAAGTCTCCAAGTATATCCTAAATACAAGTGGTGAGTTATCAGAGTCAAGGTCAGGTATTTTGCAAAGTACGACCTGTATTAATGAAGGGGACATGGACATGCCTTCCATGTGTCACTGTCACCAGGAGAGTCCAAAGAACCGTGTGCAAAGCAACTGTTTATTAACAGCCACACCGTGTGTGGATCAGGAGGCAATGTTTTAAGTACCCTCCTAAGATCACTGCAGACATGTAGGCATTTTGCTGTTTTAGTTCCATTTTAGAAAATTGGTTGTGAGTTTTGGGTTGATGTAAAATGACGTTTTCTGGGTTTCATTTTTTTCACCCATAAGTTGAAGAAAATAGAGAGCCTACATGATTCTAGAGGGTTATTGGGAGATACTGATTTAAAAAAGGCATCTGAAAACATCTGGAAAAGCACTCAAACATCCCTAAGAATTGGGAAAGAAAAAAATGGGGAAAAAACCCTTTATTCCCAGGATGGGGGAGAGAGTGCATTTCTCTCATCACAGCACATGAAATAGGAAAGAGAGCTCAACATTAAAGCACCTACCAAGTGCCATCCAAATGCTGAATCTGATCCAAGTGTCTGCGCTCAACTGGACCATCAAGTAAATGTTCACCAGGATGCTGAATGCCGGCAAAAATGGTAAGAATGGAACCTAAGGGGGGAAACAATCCTTTTGAATATACTCATATTTTGAAGCATGTTCCCCAAGTTATTTCAACAGGGTGGCAATTAATTTGGCAAATATACTTTCACACCACATCAGTCACAGTAAAAACCATGCTCTAGAGACTGGAAAAGGAGAATCACAATTTTAGAGCATTTACTAAAGCTCAAGGCAACAGGGGGTTTATCGGATTCACGAACACCTGCACCATATCCAAATAATATTGGCTTTAGGATTTAGCTTTTTTGGGGGTTTACCGATTTCATTTAGATACACACACGGGCATGTTTCTGAAATGTGAGATACATATGGTATCCCAGGTACATCCTTCCAGGACGCTCTCTTCAAGCCTAAGCCAGTATATACTCTCAGCTCGAATGGGGCAGGATAGTTTACCTTGCAGTGGAGAAGCTTGTCTTTTTAGTTTTTAATTTAGTTTTATTTTTAGAGAGAGTGTCTCACTCTGTCACCCAGGCTAGAGTACAGTGATAATATGATAGCTCACTACAGCCTTGAACTCCTGGGTTCAAGTGATCCTCCCGTCTCAGCCTCCTGACTAGCTAGGACTACAGAAATGAACCACCACACACAGCTAATTTGTTTGTAGAGATGGGGTCTTGCTATGTTGCCCAGGCTGCCCTTGAACTCCTGGCCCCAAGCGATCCTCCTGCCTTGGCCTTTCAGAGTGCTGAGATTACCTGTGTAAGCCATCATACCTGGCCCTGGAGGAAGGGTGTTTGGTGGGAATGAAGTCCTCATGAGAGGGCAGTGAATTTCTAAAAACAAAACATTCGCCTTACCTTTCTCATAGTATAGCTTCTTTAACATGAAATTTGTTTACTATTATATAATAATATTGCGATAGAAACATTCCCAAGTTTTTGAAAAGACAATAAGAGGGCCAATGTAGAAGGAATTCTGTATAAAAAGGAACACATCGAAGGAGTCTGACACTCTCATTCACTGGCTAACTGCATTAGACACTTTTCTTCTTCTTCTTTTTTTTTTTTTTTTTTTTAAGAAACAATTCACTAAGGCAAGTGGATGACCTGAGCTCAGGAGTTTGAGACCATCCTGGCCAACATGGCGAAATCCCATCACCACAAAAATACACAAATAAGCAGGGCACTGTGGCTCAGACATGTAATACCAGTACTTTTGGAGGTGGAGGTGGGCGGATTACTTGAGCACAGGAGTTTGAGACCAGCCTGGCCAACATGGTGAAATCCCATCTCTACTAAAAATACAAAAATTAGCTGATCATGATGGCATGTACCTGTAATCCCAGCTACTGGGGAGGCTGAGGCAGGAGAATTGTTTGAACTTGGAAGGCAAAGGTTGCAGTGAGCCGAGATTGCTCCACTGCACTCCAGGCTGGGTGACAAAGAAGGGCTCCATCTCCAGAAAAAAAAAAAAAAGCAAAAGAAACAACTCACCAAATTAATTATGCAGAGAAAATGAACACAATATTATATTTTGGGTCTCCAATCCTCACTACACATACCATGAAGGCTACTTTTTGCTGATTCTGGGGCTGCCTCCAGATGGTGAGAACGATGGCAATGCTGAGAACAAGAAACAGCGCAAGGAGAGCAAGGCTCCAGGCCTCCAGCTTGGAGATGGCGTGAACTCCGTAAGTGGTCAAGATACTCAGGCCCAACACAAGAAAAGCTGCAGGGGTGATGTGTGGAAAACAGTCAGCACACCATGCTCCACCCAGATTGTTTGGTGCAAACAGCGTATTCTGACAAAACATCCAGTTCTGTACACATCTACTTGGCTAAATACAAAGAGTCTTCACCTTGCCCTTTCTTCTTCACTGAGGAGAGAGATGTTCAGTTGCACAGATTTAAGAAACATTGCTCATTTGCTCATTACTCTCTCTTCCTTAGAAGCCAACCACCCTACTTGGTGTTACTGACTTGCATTATCTGCTCATGTGCTGTGTCCTCATTGGCTACTCTTAGACTAGGATGCTCTCAGGGGTGGATACTTACCTTTTTTTCAAATGGGAAATGGCATGTCTGGTTATTTTAAGCTATTGTAAACATGGACTGTGATATGGTTGGCTGTGTCCCCACCCAAATCTCATCTTGAATTGTAGCTCCCATAATTTCCATGTGTTGTGGGAGGGACCCAGTGCGACATAATTGAATGGCATGCAGTTTTCCCCATACTTTTCTCATGGTAGTGAATAAGACTCACAAGATCTGCTGGTTTTATAAGGGGAACTCCCTTTTGCTTGGTTATCATTCTCTTGCCTGCTGCCATGTAAGATGTGCCTTTCACCTTCCACCATGATTGTGTGGCCTCCTAGCCACATGGAATTGTGAGTGCATTAAACCTCTTTTTCTTTATAATTTACCCAGTCTTGGGCATGTCTTTACTAGTAGTGTGAGAACAGACTAATACAGACTGCTAATGTACACAAATGATATATCATCTGCATCTTTTCTCCTTGTTTTGGAGAATGACATCATCACCCCATCTTTGACCATCAAGTCTGCTCTAGAAGACCCTCCCATTTGCTTTGAGAAGTCTGTGTTTCCCTACTTGTTACCAATCATCCTGCCCTGTAAAAGCCAGTAAAAGGATTGCCTCTCTTGGCATCCCAGGTGCCCAGTGGACTGCCTGGCACACAGGAGATGTTCAGTAGATGTCACTGAAAATATGAATGATTACATCACTGCAAGTGAACAAACAAGGATTTTCTATATTATTGGACAATTCCTTCGGGTTCCAGTCAGGTTACTGGCAGAGGTACCTGGCATGATACTTTCACCCAGCAGTGAAATAACCACTAACAAATGTGCCAGTTTCTACTTCTGTCACTCTTGTCTTGACGTATTCCATCCTCTTTTCTTCAATTATCAAGATACAATAAATGTATACGGGTCATATAAAGATGATCTCCACTGCTGGTGATGCTTTCAGTAAAAATTTCAGGGTGGTTGCTAATATATTCTAGGGCAACGTGAGGCCCTCTGTGCTCTTCTACATCATGCCAGCTCCACCCACACACATCTTCTGGGTCTGTATAATGTACGCAGAGAAGAACACTTACCCAGGAATCCTACTAGAAAGCTCACAAGAGAAGCTGACTGCTGTGTCGGCAGTGGGGAGGGGCAGAAGAGGGTCCGCATGCTGAAGCCCTGTCTTTGCAGCATGGTGACCTGGGACTCACTCTTCGAGGCTGCGCTGGGACACAATCCCAGACCATCTTTCTCAGGAGAACATTTGGGCTGCTCGTAAGATAAGCCAGGCTGGTACCTATTCCCAAACAAACATCTATGTCTTTATTGTCAAATAGACATTTGACCCAAGTGAAACCAGCACCTAAAACCTTAAGTAAGACATCATACAGAGTGATAGTGTGTAGAGTAAATCAATACTTATGAGTCCAGCCCCAGAGCATGCTGAGCCACATGGCAAACCTTTTCAATAAAGTATCTGCAGCAAAATATCCACATTTCCCCTAGTAGTCATCTAATCAGAGTAAGGTACTAGATGGCACAAGAAAGTGAAGTTGTAAAGTAAGGCGATCATGATAAAAGGATGATTATTCTGAAATTATCTACGTCCAAAGGAAATGTGGTTCATGAAAACAGCACAGGAACTCTGGGTAAATTTCAGTTGTAAAATAATGCACTCACCAGTTTGGCATTCAAAGGCCTCATCACAATCTGTCTTCCTGGCCTCATCCTTCTCTACCGATTCTTCTAGCTATAACCAGACAAGCTCATCTGGCCATTCTGCCACCTCTACACCCAGTGCATGCCATTTTCCTTTATTACTTTATCCTCCTCCTCTATAGCTTATATCAAGACATCAGCCTTGAGATGGTTTGGCTGTGTCCCCAACCCAAATCTGCCCTTGAACTGTAGTTCCCAAAATCCCCATGTGCCATGGGAGAGACCCAGTGGGAGGTAATTTAATCATGGGAGTGGTTACCTTCATGCTGTTCTCATGATAGTGAGTTCTCAAGAGATCAGATTTTTTTTTTTTTTTGAGATTAAGTTTCAACTCTTGTTGCCCAGGCTGGAGTGCAGTGGCACGATGTCAGCTCACTGCAACCTCCCCATCCTGGGTTCAAGATATTCTCCTCCCTCAGCCTCTGGAGTAGCTGGGACTACAGGTGCCCACCACTACACCCTAAGGGGCTTTCCCCGCTTTTGCTCCGCACTTCTTCCTGCTATCATGTGAAGAAGGATGTGTTTGCTTCCTCTTCCACCATGATTGTAAATTTCCTGAGGCCTCTCCAGCTCTGCAGAACTGTGAGCCAATTAAATTTCTTTCCTTTATAAATCACCCAGTCTTGGGTATGTCTTTATTAGCAGTGTGAGAATGGACTAATAACAAGCCTGCTTCTCCACCTAGTGTCTGCCCCAGGCTTTTCAGTATGGCCTCTTCACCTTCTGGGCAGCCTTTACTTATTTTTGAAAGTAACATTTTCCTTCCATATAAAGAAATATGCTCACTGAGAAAAAATACATGAAAGTATACAGGAGAAATTTAAAACCAGCCATGACACTACCACCCAGTGTTAATCACTGTTAGTACTTTGGTGCAATTTCATCCAGGCATATAATGTCTATGTAGGCATATATGATTTTCTTCATGTAAATTTATTATTTAAATAAATTTAGATACTATATACACTGTAGTTTTGTGTCCTGAAATGGATATATTTCTCCATAAAATTAAATACCATTTTATTTGCTGTAGAAGAGTTCACTGAATAAATGTAGCCTCATTTATTTAACCATTCCCCTAGTGATATTCAGGTTAGTTTTCATTTTTTCTCTATTGTAAATTACTTTTTCCATAAACATCCTTTACATACATCTGTGTGTGCCTCCGATTAAATCTTTAGCACAAAAATTTTAACAATTGAATTAATGGAACAAAAAACATAGCACTCTTAAGTGTCTTTGAACATTATGAGAAATTGCCTTTCATACAGATTAAGGCAACCTATCCACTAATGGTCAACTTGTATTTGATTCTTTGCTAAAGACCAGATATGCTTCTTCTACTTTTCATTGCTATTTTGTTGGATGTGACCTCTCACCTTGGTGAGACAGCTGGCTCCCTGGAATCCAGGAGAGTGAGGGCTCAATATCCGACTCCCAGAGCCCCTCACGCATGGTACACCCTGCAGAACCACCAGGCGACTCACCTGAGGATGAGAACACAGGCTGCCACCAGAGAGTACGCCATGAGAGTGCCAATGGACATCATGTCCACAAGCGCCTTCAGGTCAAAGAGAAAGGCCATCAAAGCTAGGGGGAAAAGAAAAGAATGATGAAGCAAATGGCCCGGGAGGAAATTCCATACAGTTATTAACGTTTGAGCGAGGGATATCTGACTGCTACTTCATTTTGGTACTAATGATAAGTCAAGCAGAGTATAGAAAATGAATCTCTCACAGTTAAGATGTTCTTAGGGTCCATATAATCTGTTGATAGGACTTCAAAAGCCCTCAGGTCTCTAGCAACTACAAGGCACATTCTACTTTGATTATCTAAAAAATATTTGGCCTGACAAAGAGTGAAAACATTACATGACAGAACACTGTCTTTGATGCTTCAGAAGAAAAATACTGCTAGGAAACATTGGCTAGCTCATTTTTCAAAACCACAAAAAACATTCAAACAGAAGGAAAGTAAAGTATTATATAACCACTTTACTTTCCAAGTGCATTGAATTATATACAACTCAAGTTTTTCTTTTTTTGAGACAGGATCCACTTGTCACCCAGGCTGGAGTGCAGTGGTGCAATCTTGGCTTACTGCAATCTCCACCTCCCTGGTTCAAGCGATTCTCATATCTCAGCCTCCCAAGTAGCTGGGACTACAGGCATGTGCCACCACACTTGGCTGATTTTTGTACTTTTAGTAGAGGCAGGGCTTCACCATGTTGGTCAGGCTAGTCTTGAACTGGCCTCAAGTGAACCAGAGGCCTTGACCTCCCAAAGTGCTGGGATTACAGGTGTGAGCCACAGTGCCCAGCCTGACTCAAAATTATTTTAGTAATTCTGATAAAATAAAGTAATTTTCAATTAAATTATGTTTCTGAAACAGGCGAAATGCTACTATGATTAGAGCCATGCATTCCAGGTAGACTTTCTAGATCTCAGACACCAACTTCTGGGCCTACACACCAAATCCCAAAGTATTAAGAGGCAAAAAAATATTTTAAAGAGTAACTTCCACGAAACAACTGTTTTCTCCACTGAAACAGCAAAATAGTGACAATATTAACTTGAATTTAGCCTACAGTTTTCCCTGTCACAGTAAGTGGATGACATCACCTTCCATTTATATGGTGTTTCAGATCCTTCTACAAGATTGAAACCTCTGTGATCTCATTTTACCTTTGAGTCAATGATCCTGTGAGATGGGAAATCACTTAGGTTTAGCTATATAAAATGGCTGGATTTGACAATTGTGAGTAGTTTTTCTAATAGGATTATCCCCATCTTAGAGACAGGCTAACTTACCAAGGCCACAACTACCCATCAGGGGCAGAGTTCCCCTTATCCAACAGCCCCATGTTCCTGCTACAAGATCACATTGTTTCTTTTAACACATTGCATGCCTCACTTTGAAAATTCCTTGCTGGGCTTGGAAGTTCACACTCACAATCAATCCCCGCACTTTGAGAGGCCAGGGCAGGCAGATCACCTGAGTTCAGGAGGTTAAGACCAGCCTGGCCAAAATGGTGAAACCCCATCTCTACTAAAAATACAACAATTAGATGGGTGTGGTGGCGCGTGCCTGTAATCAGAGCTACTCAGAAGCCTGAGGCAGGAGAATCTTTGAACCCCGGAGGTGGAGGTTGCAATAAACCAAGATAGTGCCATTATACTCCAGCCTGGGTGACAGAGGAAGACTATGTCTCGGAAAAAAAACAAAACAAAACAAAAAGAAAATCTTCATTGCTCATATATTTATACATCAGATTATTACAATTTTGGTATGTTTAAAAATCATACCCAAATAAGGTAGCCAAGAGACAATGATCAATTGTCTATACAAGCTCTCTGTTCTAAGCTAAAAACAAAGTATAAAATAACAAAAATATTTTAAAGCATTTAAAAAATGGTCTAATTATCTTCTTTTAATTATTAATTTTAATATCTTCACATGCCACCAAATTAAATTCTTCCTGAATGGAGGAGAATAAACTTTTAAAAATTCTGGATCATTACTGAGAAGTATTTTACTGGAAAAAGAAAATTTCTAATGAGTTACATAAAATAAATGACTCTTTGTCAAAAAAGTGATTATAAACTACCTTTAATATCATGTATTATTTAAAAATAAAATAGGTACCGAGTGCAGTGGCTCACGCCTGTAATCTCGGCACTTTGGGAGGCTGAGGCAGGCAGATCACCTAAGGTCATGAGTTCGAGACCAGCCTGGCCAAAATGGAGAAACCCTGGTCTACTAAAAATACAAAATTAGCCAGGTGTGGTGGCACATCCGTGTATTCCCAGCTACTCAGAAGGCTGAGGCTGAGGCTTGATCCTGGGAGGCAGAGGTTGCAGTGAGCCGAGATCGCGCCATTGTACTCCAGCCTGGGCAACGAGAACAAAACTCCATCTCAAAAAATAAAATAAAATAACATAAAATGGACTTGACATCATCTAGTGCAAATCTTCATTTTAGGGGGGCAGAAATCCAAGCCTGAGAAAATAAGTGACTTGACCTGCTAATATATGTTTAAGAAAGGGCCAGATTTATAAGAAAATGTTTACAAAGTGAAATGTTTAAACAAATACATTCTGACCTTGAAAAAAATTCCATTTCATACAGAACGAAGCACTAGCTTTTTCTAACCTAATTTCCCAACAATTCAGAGTCTCAACACAATTGTCATTTTGGTTTGAATTTCTAGCACCAAGGTTGTTCATTATTTTATGTATAAAGCTTGCTAAAGTCTTCCTTTTGTTTTCTGTAACAGTACCTCTAAGGCCATTCTCTGGATCTAGAACGTCATTGAAAATTTCTGCATGGGATAAGAATCTGGCCAAAGGTATTTTAACGGATATTAAGATGTGCCAAAAGACTAGCAATCTGGATTTTCTGAACATTCTTTAAGTACCAAAACTGTTGAAGGGAAAAATAGATTCCTAGTGGAGTTTGAGAGGACGTATGCGTTTGTAACTGTTAGATGGCTGTGATGGCCCTAGAAGCAAAGATGCCCACCATACTGAGGACAGTGATTACAAGGGCCAAGCACAAATTCTCTTGGACATTTCTTATTAATAACAGGTAAAGTTTAGCATTTCAAAAATCCTATGGTCCTTTAGCAATAGTCAACATATATCCTAGACCAAAAAATTGAATCATTATTTTAAAATTAATATTTCAAAAATTAAGCAAGAATTCCTTAATCAAAAGTTTATGCATCAATAATAGAATTTTGTGTGCTAGTTCATCAGAAAAGCAATCTACAATATTTAGCGAAGAGCCATTACAACCCTTTGCTTATTTGTTAGAGCTCAAAAGATTAAAATAACAAAACAGTAAAAAAAAAAAAACCGGAAGGGTCAATTAAGAATGACCTTCAGTATAACACTGCCACCACGATTTTCAGATGTTAATACCAATGCTCATATACTAATTTATCAGTGATTTTGTTTTTTTAACTTACATGCACAGCATGCAGACCCTCTTTATAAGTCCATGCATGCGAATTAAATGTTCCAGTCCAATGCTCAAGAAGCCCAGTCTGTAAAGCTTACCAGAAATGACCCCTGCAGTCAACGTGGCAGCAACTGGTGACTGCCTCTTACTCACTCTGGCAAGAAATCTAAACAGTAAGCCATCCCGGGCCATGGCAAACAGAATTCGGGGTAAAGGAAACATAGAACCCAGAAGACTAGAACAGAAAAATCCAAAATCCACACATGAGTTATTTTAAGGATTATTACACAGGTAAAGGCTGGTCACATGAAAATGCAGAACGAAAACATTCATAATAGGAAACATTCACAAAAAAAGTGACTGAGCTTCATGTAAATCAATACAGAAAACCACCTAACTTTGTATTTTTAATGCAGAGTCCTTGATGAAAAAGATTCCCCTTTTCGTAAGAAAAGTCAACTCTCTCTCACCTGCCACCGCACCCGATGATAAAGTAGCAATTATTGGTGTCTTCGTTTTGGAATTGATTTGAGCTAGACATTTGAAAAGCAACCCATCCTCCGCCATAGCATAGATTACACGAGGCATTGGAAAAATCGATCCAAGAAGACTGAATAAAAAGCAAACACATGCAGTATGGCAAACATTCATGCAAGATTACATCCCTGAACTGAAATAAAGTAACTGTATAACATTCAGCGTGACAGTTCAATAATTATGTCATATTATTTTTAAATGCATTATGATTGGGCATTTACAGATATTTGCTAGTATTTACCATTGTGCTACTCATTATTCTGTTATGGATAAGTACCCAGCAAAATTATCAGACTAAAAACAATATTGCAAGTAATTTGTGTGAACCCAAATTAAAAGTAAGTAATTAAGACTAAACCAAACTTAAGACATTTTGAGCAGCAACAACTTAGAAAATAAAATTACTAATTTGTTATATAATTAAAGACTAAGTAATTTTATTTCATAAGCAATAATTGCAACCTTTAATCAACAATGATATATTTTTGCATTTATTGTACCAGTATTTTTTCTCATACACCTTGATCTTGGGTCAAATTAGTAATAATTTCCAACATCATAAGATAATCAAGATAGAAAAGGCAAAGAAGATCAATTTACATAAATGTAGAATACAGAGGTGGCCACAATGAAAAGTTATCAACTGAAGTTTAGTAAGACAGTTTTTGCTTGAGATGTGAGGAATTACTTTTGTTTACCAGCTGTACCATTTCATACATTACTTAGTGGTGAAAAATAACCGTGTAAGAGAAAACAAAAAAATATTTTATTTAAAAATGCATCCTATTTATCTATTTATTTGTGACAGGGTGCCACACTGTTACCCAGGCTGGAGTGCAGTAGTGCCATCATAGCTCCCTGTGCCTGCAAACTCCTGGGCTCAAGCAATCCACCCACCTGTCTCTCAAGTAACTGAGACTGGGACTAAAGGTGCATGTCACCATGCTCAGCTAATTTCTTGATTTTTTTTTTGTAGAGACCCCGTCTTGCTACATTGCCCAGGCTGGTCTTGAACTCTTTGCCTTAAGTGATGCTCCTGCCTTGGTGTCCCAAACTGCTGGGACTACAAGAGTGAACCACACTGTGTCTGGCCCTTCTTTATCTTTAATAAGGCTCTGTTGAGCTTGGCCATAGATGAATCTTTGTCCATCCCTTCTAAGGCCAGGGTGGCCTGGTATCTTCACAGTTCAGACTTTCGAAATTACTTAAAGCGATTCAAAATAAACCTCAAAGCTGGGTGTGGTGGCTCACATCTGTAACCCTAACACTTTGGGAGGCTGAGGCAGGAGGATCGCTTGAAGTCAGGCGTTCAAGACCAGCCTGGGCAACTTAGTAAGACCTTGTCACTACAAAAAATAAAAAGTTAGCCAGGTGTGGTGTTACAAGTCTGTATCCTAGCTACTCAGGAGGCTAAGCTGGGGAGATCACCTGAAACCAGGAGTTTGGCCCTCAGTGAACTATGATTGTGCTACCGTACTTCAGCCGGCTCGACAGAGCGAGAGCCTGTCTCAAATAAATAAATACACAAATAAACAAATAAATAAACATCAACACTATTAGATGGCTGAGAAACCAAAAGTGTCTAATCACTACTTAATATTGTCTTAACTAGAAAATAAAAGGGAGTTTGAGGGGGAAAAATAAACCTAGTCTGGTGAATTAAACTAAAAGGCTTCTTTTTCTGCTTTCAGACTTTTACAACATTATTTTCAGTTAAAAATTACTAATCTGGCAAAAAGATTAATTTTTGCTTTATAAGACTCTTCTACTGTATGGCATGATACAAAACTGGAACGAAGTATCTCACTCATAATCATATGTTAATTAAAATAAGGGTTGCTCCGGAAACCAGGGAAATGAGTTCTAAAGTATTCAAACCAGCAGCTACTGGAAATCTGAAAACTTGGGATTCAACAACCCTATCTCTTCACATATTTATATGAATTTCCACCATTAATTTAAGAATGATAATTGCTGTTTTCAGACCAACTTCACTCTGACTGGTGCTAAGAGGAAAAAGTCTCCATGTTTCACAATAAAAAACACATTATATTTAAAAAAGACAAAGCATATGGTGTCCACTCACACAGAATCAGTATTACTTGAACAGAGGCAGCAAATGTGAGGTCTGTGCATATATTCTCAGATGTCTGAAGAACTACGAATATCAGCCAGGTGCAGTGGCTCATGCCTGTAATCCTTTGGGAGGCTGAGTTGGGCGGGTCACCTGAGGTCGGGAGTTTGAGATCAGCCTGACCAACATGGAGCAGCTCCATCTCTACTGAAAATACAAAATTAGCTGGGCGTGGTGGCAGGCACCTGTAATACAACTAATTGGGAGGCCGAGGCAGGAGAATCGCTTGAACCTGGGTGGCAGAGGTTGCAGTGAGCTGAGATTGCACCACTGCACTCCAGCCTAAGCAACAAGAGTGAAACTCCATCTCAAAAAAAAAAAAAGAACTGCAAGTATCACCAAAACTAATGAAGAAGAAACATTTTAGGACAAGAATTCTGAAGTTTCATAATGCCTACATACATGACTATGTGTAACAGATGTGTGTGTGTGTGTGTGGGTATCAATGCCATATATATTTCTACCGAAGCCTGGACCATTGCTATCTTAAAGCTGACTCTGAACTAATGGCAGTGTTTATCCTTTAAGATTTTTATATGGAAATTCTGAGCAAAATAATCAATAAATACACAGTTACATAACATTTTGTTTCTATTAGGATACTTTTTAAATATACAAAAGCAAATTTTTAGACACTGACTACACTGTGTAGACTCCCAAACTGCCCCTGCCCTGAAGGCGATGCAATGTACCTTGTTGACAAGGCGCAGAGAGAACCAGCTGCGACGATATATTTGGCAGGACCCCATCCCACATATTCAAATGCTACAGGGAGGGGGCTTTTTTCGTCGAGGAGGTAGTATGGCATCATAAGTGTTAAAGCTGCAGAGACCCCAAAATAGGCCATAAAGCAAACAAGCAAAGATGTCACAATTCCAATAGGAATAGCTCTCTGGGGATTCCGGACTTCTTCACCTAAGGAAATACAAACAAAAGATGTGTATGCTTAGGAAAACATCAGTAGGTAAATAAATTAAACTGTGCGAAATTCTTCCTCTTCTCCAGAGTAATTCTTCTTTGCTTTTGTCCCTTCTCTTTTCTTATCTTGGTCCATCTATTTTTATTTTATGTTTTTTTGAGGCAGAGTCTTGCTCTGTCACTCAGGCTGGAGGGCAGTGGCGAGACCTTGGCTCACTGCTACCTCTGCCTTCCAGGTTCAAGCAAGTCTCCTGCCTCAGCCTCCTGAGTAGCTGCGACTACAGGTGTGCGCCACCAACATCTGGTTAATTTTTATATTTTAGTAGAGATGGGTTTCACCATGTTGGCCAGTCTAGTCTCAAATTCCTGGCCTCAAGTGATCCACCTGCCTCAACCTCCCAAAGTACTGGGACTACAGGCATGAGACCATGCCCAGCTGGTCCATCTATTTTATGTGAAATTTCCTCTATTCTTGAAGGTACTTTCTTATTACATAAAAATCCAAATCCCAGAGGAAGAAGAGGAGAAGTCATGCCAGTCAGTTTTGCATGCCCAGGAAAGAAAAAAACCAATGAACCAAACAAACCCCATTACATACCAGCACTATTACGTGTTTAGAGATAGAATAGCAGTCTTAATCCATCTAGAAAATGATTCAGCTACAGAGATTAAATGACTCCTATGCCATTTGGTCGGCCCCTCAGTATGAAGGCTTCAGATGAAGTTATTTCATCTATTTGTATGAAATTCTAATTTCAATGTAAAAAACAGAATACTTTGTGCACTAATGAAATTGAATACTCTAAATGTGGTCAATTGTATGGCCATACCATGACATAAAAATAGAGGAAGCACTTAGAGAATGACTCTGGGATAATTATGTTGTTGTATAAGATAATGAAGAAAGAATTGACACAATATTTTTTTCTCCCACTAACAAAGAGACCATTTAAGAATGTCATCATCATGTATGGCTCAGGTGAAGCACTTCTGGATAGGATAGGGACGGTAATAATGACTAACGTTTACAAAGTAATCAACAGCTTGCAAAGTATTTTTCATATGCATTATTTTAGGTAATCTTCATACTATTTGAGGAGTAGGAATTGTTCTCTCAAATTTATCAACATGGAAACCAAGGTCAGAGAGTTGCACTCTTCCTTGGCAGCAGGTGTCACAGCTGGGTCTGGGCCTACTGCCCTTCTTACCCCAAATCCCTCTCTCTTTCCTGGACCCTCTGCTGCCACACACGGGTACTTATGCACGACAAGGAACCCTCAATCTTCTACGGTGAGCCAAGACACTGCTCTTACCAGTTGTTGCAATGCAGTCAAATCCCACAAAGGCATAAAAGCAAGTTGCAGCACCAGCCAACGTTCCTGTAAAGCCGTAAGGCATAAAGCCACCAGTCCCATAGATATTTGTTCCATTTTCAGAAGGTGGCTCACTAAGGAAGAGAACAAACACATTGGAAAGTCACTTTGACAGAAAACTGCTCCTTCTGGTGATTTGTCTCAGACCACATTCTCAGAAGGCGGTTGTGTTTATCAGCTTTTTGAAACTGATATACATAAAACTAAAACCTCACTCTCTCCTCTCTCACCCTGTGCTAGAGAATGTGGTGGTGCCCCTAACAGTGGTACCTAACAATAATCCTCCTGTATCACTGACATCCAATTACAGGTTGATTGATAGCATACATAGAAGGTCCAGACCCGCTCTGGCTGGAACTCACAGCCAGGGAGGATTTTGAAGGCAGAGACTCTACATATGAGCCACGCTCTGGGACAAAGACCAGAAACCTCCTCTTCTTATGGATGCTTTTTCTTAGGAGAACCTATTCTTCAACTTATAAAGCATTGAGTAAGACAGAGTGCATGTCTTTAACATGCCCTAAGAAGACATTTAAAAACATGAAACAAAACTTCCTGGTCTTGATTGATAATAATAAACTTGAATATTTTATTACATGTTAAAAACTTTGTAAGTTCATAGGATACCAATTTCTTCCCTCATTGGAATGACTATAACAACATATATCACGAAAAACATACAGATGTACCTCATTCCATGCAATAAATATTTGTGTAATCTTACTTCTGCTTGTACAACTAATAACATTCTCCAAAAAAATTAGGTCTAAAGATTACTAAAGGGCTAAGAGAATACAACAAAAGGAATGGTGGCCCTGAAGGAAGAACTAAAGGATGCACGACTCAAAAATACTCATTGTTATTTAGTGGTGGCAAACTGCTTGGGGGAAAAGGTCAAGTTTTTCCAGTAGTTAGAACTTTCCTTGCTTTTCCCCTAAACCTGTAGCACAACTTGAGGCTGGGAACCAGCAGCTGCATAGCTTCACACAGTTGTCCCACAGGGAGAACTCCCTTAAGTTTGAAGGGAGTCTGGGAAGAGGGGTCTTGGAATGGAATAGCCTCTCAGAAAGGTCTCAGAAGCAAGAGGTTTGAGAACCATTGCTCTAGAATAAAACTCATATATGCCCTCTGATATAGTTTGGCTGTGTCCCCACCCAAATCTCATCTTGGATTGTGGCTCCCACAATTCCCATGTGTTGTGGGAGGGACCCTGTGGGAGGTGGTTGAATCATGGGGCAGGTCTTCCCATGATGTTCTTGTGGTGGTGAATGGGTCTCATGGGATCTGATGGTTTTATGAGGGAAAGTTTCCCTGCACAAGTTCTCTTCTCTTGTCTGCTGCCGTGTAAGACATGCCTTTCACCTTCTGCTGTGATTGTGAGGCCTCCCCAGCCATGTGGAACTGTGATTCCATGAAATACCTTTTTCCTTATAAATCACCCTGTCTCAGGCATGTATTTGTCAGCAGAGTAAAAATGAACTCATACACCCTCTTAAAATATTTTCTTAAACAAGAAGGAGGAAAAAAACCTTCAAATATTTTACCTGGCACTTGCTGATACATTTTTGAGAAACTCTTCACTAATCTTCCAGTTTGCCACATTTCCTTTCACAAACCCAGCAACCATCACAAACAGAAGGACCAGAATATTAACAGCTGTGAAGATTTTATTCACCCAAGCAGACTCTTTTACTCCAAAAGACAAAAGACCTATGGAAAAAGAAAGGACATTTTAATTTTTACCTAGCTTTAGGAAAGGCAGTGGCATTTTTGAGGCCAATACAGGGCTATAGGATATTACTTCACCAGCATTCATATCTGTAACTTCCATCTATCCACCTCTAGTGCTAGTTCTTACTCCTTAGTTAGTTACCTAATCCTGAAAGGTCTTCTGCATGCAACCAACTCAATTTTGGAAGGCAGATCATACTCACAGAAGACACCACACTTTGTAAGTAACATAAATCTGGTAACTTTGGCCATCGTTACCAATGATAGGTAAAGTAACATCTAATTTCAGGGTAATGGTTGCAAACTTTTTTTGTTTTTTGTTTTTTTTTGAGAAGGAGACTTGCTCTGTTTCCCTGGCTGGAGTACAGAGGTGTGATCTTGGCTCACTGCAACCTTTGCCTCCTGTGCTCAAACAATTCACTTACCTCAGCCACCTGAGTAGCTGGGAACACAAGTACCATGTCCGGCTAATTTTTGTATTTTTTGTAGGGTTGGGTTTTGCCATGTCGGCCAGGCTGGTCTCAAATTCCAGACCTCAAGTAATTTGCCTGTCTCAGACTCCCAAAGTGCTGGGATTACAGTCATGAGCCACCATGCCAGGCCCACTTGCAAACTCTTTAAAAATAAATGCTAAAACATATGTCTACCATGCATACAAAATACATAAAGAAAGATACTTCTTCAACTGTGCCCAAAAAGCATTTTGTTAAACCTAGTCTCATTTTAACAGTTTTATATTCTGGTTGTAAAAGTGATCAATTTCCTATTCAAGTACTTTGAAGACAAAGAAAAAATATAAAGAAGATCAACCATGCTTTTCCCTCCCAAATTTTGTACACACCATACACACACACACACACACACACACACACACACACACACACACTCTCTCTCTCTCTCTCTCTCTTGTGCCAGTAAATATATAGTCTCATTTTTAACAGCTGCATAATCTTCAACTATATTGATGTACTACACTTTAATTTATCCCTTATTTATAGACAATTAGATCACTGTTATAATTATAAATAGCACTGACATAATAATTCTTTTATAAATATCTTCCTACACTTTCTATTTACTTCTTTACAATTTTCTGCGAGATAATAGTGTATCAAAGGTAAGAACTGTTGGTTCATATTATCAAAATATTTTCTGGAAAGTTTGGCTCGATTTAAAGTTTCAATTTTTTCTATTAGGGTATTCTATTCATATCGATTGATATGGTTTGCCTGTGTCCTCACCCAAATCTCATCTTGAATTGTAACTCTCATAATCTCCATGTGACATGGGAGACACTCAGTGGGAGGTAACTGAATCATGGGGGCAGGTTCCCTGTGCTGTTCTCATGATGATGAATACACCTCATGAGATCTGATCGTTTTATAAAGAACAGTTCCCCCGTACATGCTCTCTTGCCTGACACCACGTAAGACATGACTTTGTTCCTCCACCTTCCTCTGTAAGGCCTCCCCAACCATGTGGAACTGTGAGTCCATGAAACCTCTTTTTCTTCAAAAATTACCAAGTCTCAGGTAATTATTTATAGCAGTATGAAAATGTACTGATACATTGGTTTATAAAATTTATTTATATATTAATGCCATAAGCTCTCTGCTTGTCATGTACAGCATATATTTTCCCAGTTTGTTTTTTGCCTTTAATCTTACTGTTGATTATATACATGTAGAAAAGTTATTAGAAAAAAAAATTTTTTTTTCTTTTTAGTTTCTACCTTGAAAAAAATTCTCTAAAACATTAACCCAAAACGTCTACTTTGTTTCCTTCCAGTATTTTTCTAATTAGATTTACATCTTTAACCCATCTGGTATAAGATTTGAATCATGGTCCTATGGAAGTTTATCTTTTACCACTGAGGAAATGATTGCTTTGAAAAGATGATGCCGGCCCTTTTGGCTCTCTGAGCAGCACCATGGCGGTTGGCAAGAACAAGTGCCTTAGGAAAGGTGGCAAAAAGGGATCCAAGAAGAAAGTGGTTGATCCATTTTCTAAGAAAGATTGGTATGATGTGAAAGCACCCGCTGTGTTCAATATAAAAAATATTGGAAAGACGCTAGTCACCAGAACCCAAGGAATGAAAATTGCATCTGATGGCCTCAAGGGTCGAGTGTTTGAAGTTAGTCTTGCTGATTTGCAGAATGATGAAGTTGCATTTAGGAAATTCATGCTGATTACTGAAGATGTTCAGGGCAAAAACTGCCTAACTTCCATGGCATGGATCTTACCCGTGACAAAATGTGTTCCATGGTCAAAAATGGCAGACAATGATTGAAGCTCATGTTGATGTCAAGACTACCGATGGTTACTTGCTTCGTCTGTTCTGTGTTGGTTTTACTAAAAAACACAACAATCAGATACAGAAGACCTCTTAGGCTCAGCACCAACAGGTCCGCCAAATCCGGAAGAAGATGATGGAAATCATGACCCGAGAGGTGCAGACAAATTACTTGAAAGAAGTGGTCAATAAATTGATTCCAGACAGCATTGGGAAAGACATAGAACAGGCTTGCCAATCTATTTATCCTCTCCATGATGTCTTCGTTAGAAAAGTAAAAATGCTGAAGAAGCCCAAGTTTGAATTGGGAAAACTCATGGAGCTTCATGGTGAAGGCCACTGGGGATGAGACAGGTGCTAAAGTTGAACGAGTTGATGGATATGAACCACCAGTCCAAGAATCTGTTTAAAGTTCAGACTTATAATAGTGGCAAACAAAATGTCTTATTTGTGGCTGGGTGTGGTGGCTCACGCCTGTAATCCTAGCACTTTGGAAGGCTGAGGTGGGTGGATCACCTGAGGTCAGGAGTTCAGAACCAGCCTGGTTATCATGGTGAAAGCTCATCTTTATTTTTAAAAATAAAATAAAATAATAAAATAAAAAAAAAGAAAAGACGATGCCACAGATTTACTTGTTTCTTCCTCATATCTAATAAATTTATTAGCTATCACCATCAAATAAGCAAATTTTCCAAGCAGAGATGAAAGAACTTGAATTTTGTTCTTCTACCTGTATAATTCCTAGAATCTTAAATTAACCATATAAAGGAAAGCTGTATGGTCAGCACAATTCCCGACTCTGTAATTGTAAGCTGGGTTAGGAACCACTGCTATATACCTCAGAGAATAACAAAGCCACCTTTATATTTCCTGTAAGTTTCCAACAGCACATGTGCACTGTCTACTCTGCAGTCTCATCTCCCACTGGCAGATTAGACACCAATGAGTATCTCATCTAAATACAGCATACACTTCCAGTGTATCTTTAGTAAAACGACTGCTTCACGTAATTTGGTGTTACAATATGAATAGGGATTTACAATATGGGGTCTGTTCTTCAAAGATTCTAAGAACAAAGTTTCACCTATAATTAAAGGAAAGATATGATGGTGAATGAACACAGGTCAAATGATGTGAGCCAAGGCCTAAGTCTTGCTGTGGAATTAAAATATGTTCTCATTGTATCATAGCTACATGCTTTTCATCATTTAGAGATTAAAACTGAGTATTTTAAGTTCACTGAAATGATCCCTAAATAAAACATGATGTAAACAACATAATGCTCAACTGGTTTCTATTTCTAAGTTAGACTGGTTAGAAACAAAAACAAAAATCAATTCTTTGTTGAAAAACAAATGATGTAATTTTTCTTGACATTAGACTCAAAATGGAAAACATTTTATACCTATACACTTTTTTAGGTTCTTATCCCTAAATAAAATATTTAATTAATGATTCACTTTTAAAAGGGTAAAGCTATTTTAAAAAATTATATAATTTTCAAGTAAACATTTCATAAGAGAACGATATTTCTGTCTCACTCTTCTAATAAGGGAGAAAACAAAGGTAAGGTTGGACAAGAAAGCATGAGGCAGATTGCCCAGGATAAAGCAAGTAAGAAGTAGGAACAGACATGGTTTTTACTCTTAGTGCAATCCTTGATGGGCGGGATTGCAGGTAAGAATGAGACTGAAAACAGAAAATGTGGCCGAGTGCAGTGGCTCACGCCTGTAATCCCAGCACTTTGGAAGGCTGAGGTGGAGGGATCACTTGAGGTCAGGAGTTTTTAGTAGAAACCTTGTCTCTATTAAAAATACAAAAATTATCCGGGCATGGTGGTGCATCCCTGTAATCTCAGCTACTCGGGAGGCTAAGGCAGGAGAATCGCTTGAATCTGGGAGACTGCAGTCCAGTCTGGGTGACAGAGCCAGATTCTGTCTCAAAAAAAGAAAGAAAGGAAGAAAGAAAGAACAAGTTCAAATAGTTAAAACAAATATTAGGACATGGAGCAGGGATTAGCTATACCTGTGAAATAAAATCGGTACCAGGTGAGTGCTTACTAGGAACCAAATGAGAAGGCTGTAGGAGGCAGACACTGATGCCCGCATGTTCTGGATGAGCAAACTGAGTGACGGAGATTATAGAAATTGTTCTATGTTCTAAAGGGAGTGAGTGGCACAGAAGGATGAAATCTGGGCATTCTAATTCTTGTGCCTTTTAAAACCACTATGCTGCGATACTGATGAAAACTGGAAATCCCAGTACTAAGTATGTTGGTCTGTATCATGTTGACATTACAAAATGACAGGTGATTTGAACATGCTTCCTTTACAACCAAAGGCCTACATTATATAGATGAAGGATGTCAGAAAAACAGAATTTCTTCTAGACATTGCAAATATCCCTAGCAGTATCTAATAAGATAAAACAATGCCAAGAAAGTATACATTCTTCCTTACTGAAACCACTGCTATTCCTGCAAACCTGCAATTACTTATTATAAAAATCAGTGTCCTCATCGTATTATTTAGAACGTGCCAGGTTCCATTTACTCAGAAGTGCTATTTCTACTATTGCACACAATTTAGGCTTAGGTTAAAACATGATTCCAGCCAGTGATAAACCCCACAGATGTCTAACAGTAACATAAATGTATACATATACTGACCTCATCTTGGAAACTGAGGCCCCAAATTCAAAAGTAACCTATTTTCCTGAGACAATTAGCTTGGGTCATTCTGGGGAGAAGTATAACTAGTTTTCTTACCTGCTAGAAGTAATATAAGGCACACAGCAAAAAAATCAGGATATTCTGCAAGACCAGTATAATTCATTCTGAAGTATGTCCTCAAAAACTGACCAATCTGTTTGCTGAGAAGTTCATCAAAGGTGCCACTCCAGGCTCTTGCAACACTTGATGTACCTTCCCAAAACAGAACACAGAATACAAAGTCACTGGGAGCAAATTAACATAGCATCATTTGCTACTCTATTTACAGGATAAACATGAGTTCACAAAAGATTGAAAATTTTAATCATGTATACAGTATCTAGATAATTTTATAACCATGCAATAGTCATCAAATGTTCAAATCCATAACTATGGAATCAGGTAACTTTATTTGCAGTAGAGAATTATAATTAAAAAGTTTGCAAGCCCACTTAGAGGCATAGTCAGAGATGAAGCAAAAGTCACAGAATTTTGTAGCTAGGTGCCATGGCTCACATCTGCAATCCCAGCACTTTGGGAGGCCAAAGTGGGTGAATCAGCTGAGGACAGGAGTTAAAGACCAGTTTGGTCAACAAAGTGAAACCCCAACTTTACTAAAAATACAAAAATTAGCCAGGCCTAGTGGCAGGTGCCTGTAATCCCAGCTACTCAGGAGGCTGAGGCAGGAGAATCATTTGAACCCAGGAGGCAGAGGTTGCAGTGAGCAGAGATCACGCCACTGCACTTCAGCCTGGGTAACAGAGTGAGACTCTGTCTCAAAAACAAAAACAAACAAACAAAAAACCTCCCACAGAATTTTGTAATTCGAAGGAGACATTTTACAGATAACAAAAATGGGACACACAGACATCAAATGATGCACACACGCCTACAACTGAATCTAACGGCTGTGACTCAGGGCTGTGATTTCTTTCATTCCACACAAGAAAGACTTCTTTTTGAAACATACCTATCACATAAGATAAAATGAGATTCCAGCCAGTGATGAAGGCCCACAGCTCTCCCACAGTCACGTAGGTGTATAAATACGCAGACCCCGTCTTGGGAACACGGGCCCCAAATTCGGCATAGCAGAGGCCAGCCATCACCGAAGCCAGCGCAGCAATGAGGAAGGATACCACGATGCTGGGGCCCGAGTCTGCCTTGGCCACCTCCCCGGCGAGGACGTAAACGCCAGCACCGAGGGTGCTTCCAACGCCCAGGGCAATAAGGTCCATGGTGGATAAGCAGCGGCATAGTTTGGTGTCTTCTAGACTGTCCAAGGTCACGATTTTTCTCCGGATCAGACATCGGGCAAAAGTCAGCGCAGCTCTGCAGGGAATCATTCTGACGTTTGACGAGAGCAACCTGAGCAGAAGGGAGGAAGTTAGAAGCTGATCTGGAATCATCATCCCTCCCTTTGACGACCCAGCTTCCAGGCACAATTAGAGTGGCTGTGTGTGTGTGCGTGTGTGTGTGTGTGTGTGTTTCACTTGTTAGAAGAGATGCAGACCCAGAACAGTCAGAAGGAAGGTTTAATAGCCAGAGCCTTGAATTTCCTGTAGTTCAATTTCCTGTAGTATACATGTCCCTTTATAAGAGACTACAACAAATGGTTTATGTGGGGTAAGCAAAGGAATACAGCAGCCTTCGGTGATTAAAAAGATTCACTGTTCTTGTTCACATATTATAATTTTGTGTTTTTGTTTTTGTTTTGAGACAGGATCTCTGTCGCCCAGGCTGGATTGCAGTGGCGCAGTCTCGGCTCATGGCAGCCTCAATCTCCCTGGCTCAAACAATTCTCCCACCTCAGCCTCTGGAGTAGTTGGGATTACAGGTGTGAGCCACCATGCCCAACCTGAAAATTTTCTAAGAATATGTTGATAGAAATATATTTCAAGAGATGGTTAAATGAGTCCTCACTACAAGGACGGGGGTGAACTGCCTCATCTTTTAGGTTCTGTCTCTCTTTACTTCAAACATACATTTAACTCAGGTTCTTTTGTTTTGTTTTTGTTGTTGTTGTTGAGACAGGGTCCTACTCTGTCGCCCAGGCTGGAGCACAGTGGCACGGTCATAGCTCAATGTAGCCTCAACTTCCTGGGCTGAATCAATCCTCCCGCCTTAGTCTACTGAGTAGCTGGGATCACAGGTATGTGCCACCAGGCTCAGGTAACTTTTATTTTTTGCAGAGATGGGGTCTCACTATGTTGCCCATACTGGTCTTGAACTCACAGGCTCATGCAATCCTACTTCCTTGGCCACCCAAAGTGCTAGGATTATAGGCATGAACCACCACGTCTGGCCCAGATTTTTCAGGCCTTACTAAATGCCAGGACTTGTGCTGGCATTTAGAATGATGTCTTACATAGGATGTGCTGGCATTTAAAATGATGTCTTACATAGGATGTGCTGGCATTTAGAATGATGTCTTACATAGGATGTGCTGGGATTTAGAATGATGTCTTACATAGGATGTGCTGGCATATGTAGAATGATGTCTTACACAGATAGAGTCTCTAGTCTTACAGGACTTGGCTATCATCTAAAAGCAGGTAAAACCATAATCATTATGTATTCTACAGCTTTATCAAGTAAGCTTCTCTGTTTTCAATTTAAACAATGAATGTGAAGCAGATATGAACTTTTTTAGAATTTTTAAAAAATCACCTCTCAAAGCATGCTGAAATCTAAAACTGCTATTCAACCATGCTTTAAGTATGAATTTGTACTAAAATATACATGCTTACTATATTTGCCATTTCTAAATAAATATATCCAAAGTCCATGCCAAGTATTATTCTATGTTCTTTTAAAAATGGAATAAAGTAGACAAAAAATCACACTCCCCACCTCCTGCAGGCATAAGCAATCTAACACTGAAAAAAATCAAGTTATAAAACAAGGTATGAATATTAGTAAGAAAAAATACACAGGCATGTATTATAGTAAAGAGGTTTAAGGCAAAACATATAACAATATTAACAGTAATGATATTTAGATGGTGGGTTTTTACTTCTCTGTATTTCATATATTATAATGCCAATGCCTATTTCTAATTTGTGTCCAATGAATATGTACAACTTATATGCAAAAGAAATATTAAAAATGAAAAAGCTCTACAATGCATTGTCTACTGAAACATGTAATTCAGCAGACTAGGAAATAACTTTGGAAAATTATTCACACATCAATATAAACATAAATACAAGCTTCCAATGGTGAAAGCAGGTAAGTCAAAGAATATGAAGCAAAGCCTAAGGAGAAATAAAAAATAGGTGAAACGTTCCTCGATGATAAAAACAAACTTTTATACATCTTCAGTATCTTCTGTGCCACCTGACAGAGTACCAAATCATGGCACTTCACAAATGCTTGTGGGAAAATCTGCAAATATGTTGATATCACTAGTGTTGCCAATATTCAGGGTTCCGAAGTCAACCTATCAATACTTCCATAAATCAAATGTGTATCAATTTCTACCACTAGCTAACCCTTAACTAGCCCTTTCTCATGCATCTAGAAGATAAGTGTTCTGCTTAAAAAGAATTGAGAAGTAAAAAGTAGAAGTTTTATAAAGGCCAACTGAGGGGGCCAAGAGGGGTGGGAAAGGTAGTTACTAAATGCTGAGCTTATTTAAGCATTTTTATACGTAGATGTACAAATATCAAGGATTAGGGACCACTGCCAACTGAAAAGTGTTCAGAAACAAGACCCACTGACCTTCACTAATGATTTAAGATCATGTGAAAATGGGACACGTCATATACAACTTTGGGAACCAACTTATAAACAAAATGCAGCATACCCTTTCGTCATTTAACCAAATAAAATATGCCCATGGTGGAGTACTTAAATGAACTTTGACTTTTTTGAGTAAAAGACATAAATTTCCTATAATCCCAGCACTTTGGGAGGCAGAGGTGGGTGGATCACGAGGCCAGGAGTTCGAGATCAGCCTGATCAACACGGTGAAACCCTGTTTCTACTAAAAATAGAAAAATTAGCTGGGCGTGATAGTGCGCGCCTGTAAACCTAGTTACTCAGGAGGCTGAGGCAGGAGAATCACTTGAGGCTGGGAGGCAGAGGTTGTAGTGAGCCGAGATTTCACCACTCACTCTAGCTTGGGTGACAAAGCAAAACTCTCTCTCCACAAAAAATAAAAAAGACATAAATTCTATAACTATTGCATATTTAAAGAGAAAGAATCTGGAAGGAAGCAAGGAAAACAAAGGAAAGATTTGGGGGCTAATAGGATTGTGGGTAAACTTTTTTTCTAATCCTTTTTTTCTGGTACTATGATTATGATGTTGTTTGTGAAATTTCTAAAGACCAGCATAAAAATAAAAGAATAAGCAAGTCGACCAATAAACAAACTTCCTTTGAAAATGTTAAAACAGTAAAAGCTTTTATTAAGTTACCCAAAATGAAAAAAAGAGCGATGGTCATCTCTTCAATATGAAATTGAATTTATTTCATTCCAGATTACCGAGGAGGCAGGACTGCTTATAGAGATGTACAGCTTTAATCAGATAAGATATGATTTCTGCTGCTTCTTTCCTAGTTTTTTTTTCTTTTTGGAAGGGTTTTGGGGGGCAGGGGTCTGTATAGGCAAAATATTTCTTTCCATTAAAGATGAAAAGTATTTTATGTGTAGTCAGGTTTTCTATGTTGCTCTGGGGGAAAAAGACAAAGATCCCATTTGTCAAGCATTCATTTGCTTTTGAGTAATTAGAAAAGCACACGTCAGAAACTTCTCAGAACTGATAGGTTACTCAATGTCCTTTGCAAACAATCTTAACTACGCACAACCTGGTAAAATACGGATTGCAAAAACCGTGACACAGATCTTATTTTGTAGGACTATAATGGGATGGGAGAAAAGGAAAAAACATACTGGGTCAATTTAATGAGTCATTATTGAACAAACATTTATTGAGTCCTACCAGGTCTATCATCCAGTGCTTAGTAGACGAAGAAAGTTAATTTCATGCTTTTGTAAAATATACTTCTGTTGAGACACACTGATATATGAAAGTAGTGTGGCAACAAGAGAATAGAAAAAATTTTGTATCTAATGTTAGTGATGTAATTTGATATGTACCTATTTTTGAAGTTTTTATAACTTTTTTCTTTAACATTTTTAAAAAGATAAGCTTTTTATGTGAAATGGTTATGACAACCTTACTCTCATTTTTACAGGGGACTTTCACTGCCCAAGAAAAAATATCCCTCCCACTTACACAACCAATACAAATGCAGAGATAACAGGCAGGGTTTTGGAGGTGATTCCATTGATCTGGAGGGCACAGACTTTGTTTTTCCAGGAGCAGACTGATCTGCACCATTGTACCCACTGTCAATTATTGCTACTGTGACCAGGGACTCGTATTTAATATAAAACCTACATGCATGTAGTATAGGAACAACAATGCAGATTTTGGGAAGAGGCCCATATAAAACTCATACCCATAGAGTATAAAGGCTCTTATCAATATCCCTATGAGGTCACAAGTGGTTCTGGCAATATGAGAAATAGATATGCATCTTTCTTCAATAAGCAATTATTTTATTAATGGCTGAGACAGTGGCGTCTCTTGAGGAAGACAAATATGCACATATTAGCTTAGATCTGAAAATAGAATTAGCTAAGGGAGGGCTGGAAGGGACTAACAATATAATGTGCTGCAGAAAAGTCTCTGAATGATGTTAATGAGCCTAATAATACATGTGGATCTTTCTTAGCCTCTGCCCCGATTCTTCCCCAAACTGAAGTATAACCATTTCTAGACACCTTATTCCTTGATAGGGCCCTATAAATTCTTGCCAAAAAGCTAAATTCCTTTCTCAGCAACTTGGAATTACCTTTTTCTAAAACTTCTTCAGCCCAGGCCATCAACCAGACAGTATAGAATTTTACGCCTTGTAAATTCCTAACCCTGATAATATAACAGAGCAAACTGCCTTTCAACAATCCCTAGAAATCTTTCCGAAATCTGCTCATCACAGTCACAAGTTTATCCTAGATTTCCACTTTTGTTCAAAAGTTTGATGTACTGAGTCACTTAGAAATGAATCTTTCCCTTCCTCTGCTAAGTAAAGGCTGACATTTCAAACTTAATCTTCTATATCAGTATCCCAGACCCTGACAATAAATCTTACAGGAGAAACTAGCTGTGGCAAGTCGGTGAGGTAAGTGTTCCAATAAACTCTCAACAGATTAGTTTGTCCAAATTATAACAACTTTTTCTTTCTTCACTCCAGTTGCTAGTTTCATGGTGAGACATCTGCTCTGTTTTGGGACCGATGGGGAAAAAGTAATTAAATCATTATTTAATTGCTTTTAAAGATAGGGATCTTTATTGTAC